GCATAGAAGTTGAGTGCAGTCTGTGCATTAGATTCCAGTTACTCACTGCCTACACAGAAGCAGGTCTGGTACTCCAAGGAGGACCTCTAGCCCTTCAGTGTACCAGGAGCTTCATCTCGCCGCTAACGGTTCTCTAGTGAAATCAAGACTGACAGACCATGGGGAGTAAGAGGTTTTACTGTATCATGAAGGAAAATATCCCTACAGAAACTTCGGCCAGTACACAAAGAAACAGCTTTGTCAGTCCACTGCAATTCTCTGCTTCTTACAGAGCTAGAAACTGAAGAAAGTTGTAAAGTTGAAAGGTGGTAATATTTTCAGTTAGTGCTCCAAGAAGGGGCAGCAGGATTGTTAGCCACATTGCACACTTCTGAAAATAACATTCTGTGGTATTTTCATTTACTTACAAAACAGCAACCTCAAAATAAAACAGCAACCTCAAAATTTTCTTCCCCTACAAACCCAGTTTTTAAGAGAGAATTTTCTGTGACCTGGTCTCTTTCAGCACACAGTTTTGGGCTTTATTCATCTTACAGTTTAATGTCTTTTCCTTCTGTTAATGCACTTCTGCATGTCCACCCCTGAGAAGAGGTAAGGAGCATGTTCGGACTTTTTATTTTATTTAAGAGAAGAATTTTTTTCATTTCGTCGTCTTTCCTTTTCCTAGAAACCAACATTTTAAGCATCAGTAAGTATGTTCTTTCTAGGTTACAACATAATATTGAAACATTGGATGAAAAGCAGGGTTTTTTCTCCATTTAGAAGTGTTCTTTTTAGCATGCAGGCTTTTCAAAACTTGTCATTCCCCAGGCTGCAGTCACATGCGAGAGGAGAAATTACTTGGAAATAGGCTGTCCTTAGAGGATTGCATTTTTCTATCTTTGCAGAGAGAGGAGACACTTTTCAGGTGCGTGTGCAATAAAGAGGAGGAGATTTTTTCAATCGAATAGACTTCTCTGAATTTTTACTAAAATGCTGGTGGCCGTTCAGTTTGCAGTGTGTGGTCTGGGTTATCACCGCTCAGAACGAGGCTCGTTTTGGACAGCTCCTGTTAACTAAGTTTAAACCATTAAATGCCATGCCCCAGAAAGACCCCTGCACAAATACTGAATATTCAGGAATGTCAGGAGTCTGATTTTAATCTTAGCAGATTTATTTCTGTACTTCACAGTTTATGCAGGGCTGAGCTTAACAGAAACTCCATCCCTTGAGAACACAAGAGTTAAGACAGGTGAATGTGAAGAGAAGCTAAAATTGATAATTCAGAGACAGAGAAAAAAACCTGCTGATGCAAACCAATGTTGATGTAGCTTTAAGTATTAAATTATACATTTTGAATGCAATTTTAAGTTTGTATACTATGTACATAATATATATACACGTATATGACATAATGGGATACCTCGTCTGTATCACCAATATGAGTTTGTGCATTTTGTAGAGGTTTGTTCATCCAACACATTAAGAAATTGAGATCTGAAAGGAGGAGGAATATAGGAGAAGATACAATAGCCTGGCGTGGAAGTATATGTGTATTTTCTGATACGTTCAGTAAGGAATTTCAAACTCTAGGTAGTTTTTAGTAACATACATGTGTTTTAAAAAAAAAAAAAAAAAAAGCCTTTTACCATATGCAGTACTTATCTTCTGTAGGGCAACCAGTAACGTATGCTTTAGAATTGTAATATTTATTGGCTTTGTACTTGTCATCTGTAGAGATGAGTCAGTGATGTATTTTTTTATTGGTAATATTTATATGTAATTTTGTGTGTTAGCCAGAGAATTATAATGTGTCTGTTATTGCTTTGTGGTTTGATAATAAACAAATGCAAAGCTCAGAGATGCATTTGGGTTTCCGAAATAGCCCTCTGAGATGCAAAAGCTTTTGCTTAGCCACCTAGGCAGTACTCTTGCTCAGGCTTTTCTTCACACTTCTGCATTCTGCCACCTCAGGTTTGGCCTGTGGATGCTCCATTCCCGTCAGTAAATAAATATTTGGCAATATCCAAATGGTACTAAGGATTTTCATACCCTTTTGAACCCTATTTTTTTTCCTTCAGTGATGTCCTTCCTGACATCCCTGCAGTATCTAACTATACAAGAAAATCTGTGTGACTTTTTGTTGCTGATAACCTTTTGTATTTTGAAACAAACAAAAAGTGGTAAATTAAATGATGGGAACAAAGAGTATAAGAAGATCAAAAATTGGTAATATTAATCAAGCTAATACATTGCTTTATAAAGCATTTTCATGTGTTGGTATGTTAAATGTTACTGTGAGGTTCTTGGAAATAAACCCAGTATGTATTTAGTTCCTTTTAAATGCCAGTGTTATATATATTCAGTTGTAAAGGCTATTCACTTCAGCCTTGGAGTATCAAATGCTTTGCTGTTTAATCCAACTGAAAAGAAATTCTTGTTTGATTATATTGATCATTATCAAAATAAAAGTCTAGTTGCACTGGCAATTGAAGAGCGTAATACTCCATTTAAGTCAATCTTTTGCCATTACAGAATTAACCATTTTGGAACAGTCCTATAACCACAGTTCTCAACCTTGCGTCATATTTGCCTCTACAAGTCACCTAGAAATAACAGATTAGTGAAAACTGACTAATCCAACTCGGAGGTAATGTTTGAACCTTATTCTGGTTCATTTTATACTGATTTTTGGTTTATGTAAAAATGTAAGGTGCTATTACAAGTCACATCACAAGCCCATCTTATCTGTAATCTTCTCTTTGATTATAAACAGTTGTAGACTCATGAGGAAGGATATAAACAAAGGGCTTACACAGAGTGATTTTGCTTTAGGGTAACTTACCCAGCATCCAGCAATCTGTTATATTTGAATCTGGTCCACAGTGGACCTTACCCTCCATAAATTTGTCTTAGTCTTAATTTGTCTGTACTTCTGTCCTCTAAAATGCCCCTGGACAGCGAGTTCCATAATTCAGTTGTACAAAGAAAAGGGGGTTTTTTGAAGGTAGGCTCTTGAAGGTAGGGGAATCCAGGAGAGCTGGCTTCTGTTTAAGCAGCTCTTCCTCCATGCTCAGGACCGGTGCATCCCTGTGAGTAGGAAATCAAGTAAAGGAGGTAAGAGGCCTGCATGGATGAACAAGGAGCTCCTAGTGAAACTCAAAGAAAAGAGTAAGCTCCATGGAATGTGGAAAGAGGGTCAGGCCACTTGGGAGGCATACAGGAATGCTGCCAGAGCATGTAGGGAAGCAACTAGAAAGGCCAAGGTTCACCTGGAACTAAGTCTGGCAAAGGATAACATCAAGGATAACAAGAAGGGCTTCTTCAAGTATGTCAGCAGTAAACGTAAGACCAGGGGTAATGTGGGACTGCTGCTGAATGAAATGGGTGCCCTGGTGACAGAAGATACAGAGAAGGCGGAGCTACTGAATGCCTTCTTTGCTTCAGTCTTCACTGTCGAGGCTGGCCCTCAGGCTCCCCAGTCCTGGCAGGTAAGCGAGCAAGCTTGGAGAAAGGACGACCTTCCCTCGGTCGATGTGGGTCAGGTTAGGGATCTTTTAAGGAAGCTGGACACCCACAAGTCCATGGGCCC